AAATTCAAAATTTAAATCTTTTTTTAATCAAATAATATTTAGTTTTCGGAAAAAGCAATTCGTTCATTTTTCTTTACTTGTGTAAATGATTCTGGAGAAATTGTTTATTTTTAATTAGATAACGACCTATTTCAATCAAGTTTGTCAAGTATTTTGTCATACAAAATTGCACACTTTAAAATGGTGTTAAATGTGTAACTCAAACAAATTTTATAATTGTATATCATCATTTTTGAATTTGCTTAAAAAGCAGAGGAGATATATTCAGGGGTGCTACTCGCAAAATATCAAATTGTCTCGCCAGAAATTGCATTTCGTCTCAGTTAAAATCTCTTTTTGGCTCAGTTTGTCTCGACTAAAATTATTTTTTGACTCAGTTTATCTCAGCTAAAATGACTATTAATCAGTTTGATAACAATATAAAGATAATTTTCAGGATCCATAAAACCATTAATAGCATACTAGGAGTACTACAATTATACATACATTCACTATTGCTAGGATTTAAAAAAAACCTGCATATGATTGATTATACGAGTCCACAAAATTGTTTTGTGAACTCTGTTGTTTTCATATATATTGCATTTATCATTTATGCTAATGAATAGTATCTGTTCCAGAATTTTACAAAGTAAATTTTAACTTTCTTACATTTTAAAATATAATGGTGTGACCTTTCTAAAAAGAAATATCTATTTAGTTTTGGTAATTCAAAAGGGAAAATACCCATTTTATTTTGAGCTCTAATTTCATCTCAAAATATATAACTATTCATTTACAATGGAAGGTTCTACAGATTTCAATAATTAAAAGAGAAATTCAGTAATTAAATAATGAGAGTTTAAGAAAATGTAAATAACACAAAGAACAAAAATCACTCTTTGATAAAACTCAGGAGGTGCACTGAAATTTTGAAATATTTTAGGTAGGAATTTTTCAAGAAAATTTTAGGGAGCACTTAATAGCCAAAAAATTTGCATATATACATTTTTATATCAAAACAGAAATATATAAAAATTATTAAACAATTTAAAAAGACACATATAAATATACTTTTCTTTCTAAAATGACTTGCATCCTTTATTAAGTATAAAAGTAAACTTTTTAGTTAATTGGCATTGACTAGTAGATTGTACTTTCTTGCATTGACAAGATCAGTTAGTTGACTATGTTCTTTTAATTTATATAGCTAGATATACAATCATAAAATGTAATTATGAATGTACTTAGCAATTGTTTAAATGCAACAACTGTAGAAAAATGTATCACATCTTTACAGTAACAAATTCAAGAAAAAACTTAATTCTACTTCTTTCTGGAATCGTGATACTGGATTTTAAAATCGCGTGAATATGAATTGCGATATTGGATTTAAAAATCGTGTGAATATGAATCACGATATTGGATTTAAAATTCGCGTGAATGTGAATCGCGATTTTAGATTATAAAATCATGTGAATATGAATCGCGCTGTTGGATTTTAAAAAACACGAAAATACAAATCTCGATATTGGATTTTAAAATCGCGTGAATATGAATCACTATTTTGGATTTTAAAATCGCGTGAATATGAATCACGATTTTGAATTTTAAAATCACGTGAATAAGATTCGCGCTGTTGGATTTTAAAAATGCGAAAATACAAATAGCGATATTGAATTTTTAAATCGCGTAAATAAGGATCACGATGCATAATTTTTAGATCACGTGAATACGAATCGCAATGAGTAATTTTTAAATAGCGTACAAATGCGAAAAACGAGATATGATATTACAACTCAGGGTGCGTAGCCAAATCTTTGAATCAAAAATAAGCACTTTTTAAAAACTTTTCAAGCACTCAAAAAATTCATATTCAATCAATGATATTATTGAAAAACAAAAACTTTTTATAAACAGTTTTAGCGTTAAAAAAAAAAAGAAGAAACGGACGTAAATCGAAACAATCAGTACTTTCCCACATCACCGAGTGAATTCAACTTGACTCTGAACAAAAGTACCCTTACCCCCTACATCAAAAAAGTGTTAGAAGTAAAATAAAATAAACAAGAATAAAATTATAAATTAAAAAGAAAAACATTTAATAAGGATCTGACTCTATCCGAATTGGAGTTTTGGGTTTCAGTTTCGAGTGTGCGCGCATGCGCAAGTCATAACGTGGGTACGACATGAAATCCGTGTGAATGATTACGTAGCTAACACCCCATTTTTCGTGAAATGCAGGGGATCCGCCAGATGTCACTGAAGGAAAAAGAAAAAAATATTCGTGAAAAAAAGCACTTTTTAAAAACGCCAGCTGAAAAAAGCACCTTTAAAAGCTTTTAAAACCGAAATCTCCCAAAAAGCAGCTTTAAGTACTTTTTACAAACGCTACGCACCCTGCAACTGCGTGATAGCGAATCGCAATATTGGATTTAAAAATGCGTGAATACGAATCGCGACGTTGGATTTTAAACTCGCGAGAATACAGATCGCGATATTGAATTATTAAATTGAGTGAATAGGAATTGCTAATACGATTTTTAAATAGCGTAAAAAAAATCGCAACACGTAAGTTTTAAATCAGTTAAATACGAAAATCGATGATTGATATTAAAATCGTCTGATTAAAAATCGCGATTTTAGCATATTCCAGCGCAGTTCCTAATAATTAAAATTCCGAAAATTAGCCAAAAAAAAAATCTAATGTCGGCGGTCGAAACGAAATGCTTAGACTCCTTTCCACTCTATAGCGGAAGTCGCGGTTGTCAACGCAACAAGCCCGCGGCAGCTCCCCCCTGGCTTGGGTTTCTCTAATTGGACTCCCTAAAAGTTTTAGTTTTTGGAGCATGGTCGGAAATTTTGGGAGAAAAAAGCGGATTTCCGCTTTTTTGCGGAAGTCTTTCATCCCTGAATAATTATGTGCACTGTACAGTTTCCTAAGGAAAAAAAAGCAAGATAATAACCAATAGTATAAGGGAAGAATACCCTCTTTTTGTTACAAGATCACGTGCATGCGATACTGATTGCTACTCACTGCGGTACATAATCCAATTGTAGACACGAAACGCATATTCTATATGCATTCCAATAGCTGATTCGCCAAACGGAATTTCTGACATTGACAGGCGTGAACGGCAAAATGCTCTCCAATGACTCACGGCGATGCGGATTAATATTTGAAACTGAATTCAGGTTTGTCAAATTTTGGACGTTTTGTCTCAGAATGGCGCAGCTTTGGCAGACACTGAGCTGAATGTCGCAGTTATGCCGTTTTGTCTCAGTTTGTCGCAAATGGCGCAGGCGTAGCACCCCTGTATATTGAAACATGTATGAAGTGGAATTAACATTAAGATATCCAAACTATAGGAACAATATTTAACAGATTATTCAAAAAATAATTTATTATAATTACAAAAAAATTTCATTCTTTAATTTAAAAATAGTATAAAAAATTTTTGAACTATAAAATTTTGCAACATCTATATTTTTTAGAAAAAATGCATTAGTTACTTGAATCATACAAAATTTAAAAATCTGTTGAATAATTCAGGAAAAATATAATAAATGAAAAATAATTTATATAAATTTTCATTTATATAAATTGCCCTCATATCAAATGAAAAAAAAAAACGTTATATTGACATTTTAATTCTAACCCTACCTGCATTTATTATTTACTGAAAAAGTTGAATGGAATTGTAGAGAATGGTACACTGTATAACATTCCTCATCAAATTACGGAAAAGCCAAATGGCACTCTTGTTGTCAATACAATTTATCATGAAAACCTAACATTTTCAAATGAATATGTTACGGAAAAAAAAAATCATATATACCATAAATTTTATAGTAATATTTACCTTAAATTCGCTAAATTATACTAATTAAAAAAATATTACTATAAAAATTACTTTATTGTATGGTAAAAATGTATTTTACGGTAAAATTGATTTGAAACCGCAATAAGAATGCAACTAAAACCAAGCAAAAGGCCTGAATAAGTAAAATACCAGTACAATAGTTAAAAGCAAATATAAGATGACTAAACATAAGAAAAAAGATGAGGTAAAAACACGAAGGTAGTTAAAAGGTAAGCAGCTAAATTTAACAAATTAGCCAAAATCAAACAAAAGCCTGAAAAAAAGTTAAAAAAAAAAACAATATCTAAAAGGTAATTAGCTAAAATTAATAAATGAGCTAAAACCAGGCAAAAGGACTGAATAATTAAAATACCAGTGGATAAAAACAAGTGTAAAATGACATGACATCATCAATAATAATAATAATTAAAAAAAAAGGAGTTTGATACTTTTATTTTTAGTATTGTTATAAATAAAAGTCTCATATGTTTAATCTTCTGATAAGATTGAGAAAAAATTTATATACTTGAAAAAGTATTTGTATAGTATATTACAATAAAATAAGAGTAATTATTGCAAAAAAAAATTTTAGAACTATTGAAGAGCAATTCTGTTAAACAGTATGGTGTGGGGAAAGTTACTTTCCATAAATTCTTGTATATTAATTAGCTTTTTTAAAATAACTAATTTAATTTGACTAAATAAATTGCAACCAAATCCGGCTTGTACTCAACCACCCGATTTGAATAGATTGCTAAATTCATGAAATTGCTAACAAGGTGCTTTTTCTACCAGCACTTTGTCCTTAATTATCCTTTTAAATATATTTTTTTCAGATATTCAAAAAATAATTGTTTTTAATTACGCAAATACACTGAATTCTTCTTTTTTAGAAGATTATAGAGTAAAATATTAATTTTGATTTTAAATTGAAAAATTTATTAAAAGCTGTACATCTCTTTTTCCCGGGATATTCCATTTGTGCCTTTAAACGGGGCATAGAGCTGCGAAAAATCTTACATAGCTGAAAGTGGGCACGCGACTGCAAAGGATAAATTCAATTGTAAATAAATAAAAAAAAGTATTAATTTTTTAAAAAAAATTTAGCAACATTGTCTAAGATTGAATAATTCAAAAATATAATAAAGAGATTTCAACTAACATTCTTATTAAATTTATTTCATAAATTTACAAGTATTTGACATTAGAACACAAGTATTTAATAATTTAATATTAGTACACCTATAAAGAAAAGCTGGTACATTCCAAATGTATACAAAATAATGTACAGATAACTAGAATTAACATATAAATTGCAATTATTTGTATAGTTGAATCTGAGTACATTGTGAATTGAATTAAGCAATAGATTAATTCTAAGTTAATTACGGAATAAGTCTAGGATCTATCAAAGCTGTCCAGTTTAGGGAAACCTAAAAAAATAAGAAAGACAGGTAAAGAAAATGCCTGATGTAGAAGGAAAAAAACAAAAATTTATAATTTTGAAAAACAAAAGTACCGTTTTAATGACTTGATCATCTGGAGGAGGTTCATCCTTCCACAAGTTCTCAAACTTTCCTGATTTTCCTTTGTTAGGAAGAGAAAAAAATAAAGAAAATAATTCTTAATTAAATATAAAATAAAATTAATGTATAGTTTCAAATGTCAGAAAAAACAAACAAACTTCTAAGTGAAAATAAACTAATGGTGAATTACTGAAAACTTCTTTACGTCAATCAATTCCATTTCTACTGTTTTTAAAGTAAAGGTCATTCAATAAAATTTAAATTTAACTGAAAGATATTATTTATCTTCAATTAAAATTTATTATTTATTTTCATTACATTATCAATGTCTTTTGAGAATCAAATATAAGAAAAGAAATGAAGCAATGTTGTTCAATCATAATTCAAATAATCGAATAATAGTAGTAATAATGATTAAAAAAAAAACATTGAAAATTTAGAAACAGAAAGTTTGTCCCCTGCCTTTATTTTGCAAACTACTTCAAAAATTAAAGTTATAAGGCAAAGACTATGCAGATTTATTGACAAAATTTCATTGTATCTTTTTAATTCATCATATGTGCTATTAACAGTGAATTGATTCATCATCATTTTATATGAATTGAACTTATTCTCACTAAAAAGTATATTAAATATTTTTTAAAAAATTTGTTTGAAAAGGAATTTATCGGTAGCTCATAGCAGAGATGCCAACTGCTCCGGACACGCCAAAATAATTTTAAAAAAAACGATAAATAACTACGAAGTAAATTTTGCAAATATTTTACTAGTTTTGCTTGCTTTTTAAAGGGTATAACATGACATAAGTATTACAAAGTGGCGAATTATATAAACCTACGCATTATTTAGAAATAGAGGTGGATAAAAATCACAATTAATAAACTACCACTTTAAAATATATATTTGCTGTCTGGAGCAAGTTGGCATCTCTGTCATAGTTATGTTGCAGAATATTCAGCATTAGGACGAAATCATTATTTGTGCCTTCCTATTGAGTATCAGAAAAAAGTAATTAACAAGGCAAAACATAACTAAATTTAAGGTAGTCTATAGGTGCAGTCTTGTCAAGTACTAACCAAAGTATTTGTTAAGGTTAATTTGTTTTATAAATTTTAAGAGCTATTTTCTTTCCAAAAAACATACTTTGGTATTGACCAATGAAAATGTGTAATTTTACTAGCAATATTGTTTTGTAACTGGTCCTGCAGACCAGTGTTTAAATTTTAATAAATTCTTTCCCTTCCTTTGATAAGGTTGAGTGTTAGTCCTGCTTCTTTTGATTTTTAAGCTGGTAGTTATATACATAAAAAAAAGTTCTCCTTATGTTATTTAACACAAAATTTGTGTTAAGAATAGGTTCGTGAAGGGGTTCAGTGCTATGCTTTGAGTTTTTTTCTTTTCTCATAGCAAATTATAGTATGCCCTCTTGGCATAATTTTAGAGTGTTAAACTATTATAATACATTATTGTTCAAAGGCTACCATCTAATAGCATTGAATAAATAAAAAACAATTTATCTAAACAACAAAGAAAGAAAAACATGTAATTAGCAAAACTTTCATAATTCGAATTTTGTAAGTCAATTAGGAAGATTTATTACAATTTCGAAAAATAAAACATAATGGTAAGATACATTTTTTAAATATTTTACTTCTTTTTAATAAAAAATTCTTTATGGTATTGTTAAGTTTAAAAATGCTTATATATATATTGTTTGATGTACAGTGTCAACAATAAAATGAACTAAATAAATAGTAAAAAATAAACACATGAATCACAGGGGAAAAGAAAACTATATCAGAAGTTAATTTATGCTCTTTGTAAAAATAAGTTTCTTAAGAAAACCTTAAGTGCAAATGTTACTAAGTTCTTTATTGAAATAAACAATTGTTAAATTACGAGATTTATAAAATGCAAGCTAACTTGCTTAACACTTTAGATATTCTTACTAATTAACACTTAAACCATTTTTTCCAAGAAAATGGATTTTATTTCAACATTTCACTTACGGAAATAAAAATATAAAAATAACCATTTACGCAAATAATTATAAAGAATTGTAAATGTATACAGTGTTAAAAGACTAATTATTAAGACAATGCGTTTAACGCCTTGGTATTTATATTACATACAAAACATGAATTTGACTATGGCATGGCCCCAGGTAAAGCACATGCCTGAGACAAGAGTGATGTCTAGAGTGAAGAACATATGGCACCGTTTCACAGTTAAAAGAGAGTTTGTGGTAGAAGTTGTAGTTCATGTTGTGAGCAGTGTCTCTGGCACACTTAGGGCCATTAATTGTTGAGTTTCAGTGCCAACTGTTGGGCTCTGCTACAGGATAAATGGAAGCTGACATATTAAAAATATATTTTATATACTTATTCAGGGTGAGTAGTGTTTTTAAAAAGTACTTAGAGGTGCTTATTTTCAATTTTTGTTTTTTGAAAAGCCCTTTAAGTTTCTTTTTTCCATTGGGTGTTCCTTTTCCGAAATGAGATTTTTCTTGTACTGTGTCGATTTTTGACAGGAATTACCAAAAAAGGGTAGTTCACACATTCCTTTGCACTGTCATATGATTTACATGCTTGATGAATGCTTTTGGGTCTACATGTGCCTGCACTGAGCTGGATTCGGTGTAAAAGATTCTTGCACTCTCATATGAAATTGTGCTGCATTTTGCAGGAGATTCTTGATTTGAAGCCTTATTTTCTGCCCTTTGAAATCAAATGGAAAAACCATCATATTCCTCACTGACGAATCAATGGTCTTCATCTGCTATTTTATTTATAGATCAGCACCATAATTCTTGAACTTAACTTTGGGATTATTCACTAATTACAGATTTTCATGCGAGTCCAGAGCCTGAGTCACAAAGCTTCATTACCCCAATTTAAAAAAGATAAAAATTGAATTTATAAACAGTAGGATTTTTTACCTGAGGGACCATCCACTAATTGCAAATATACTTTTAAAATTTACTATTGTACCTAATTTTTAAAATTTTCTGTGGTCTTAAATTACATTAAGAAAAATCTCAATATTTAGAAGCCAGTTTTTAAAAAAGTATGAAGTGAGGGTTTTTTCATTATTTTAACATTTAGCAAATGCAGTTAAAAATCTTTAATTAAAAAACTGAAATAAAAAATTCAGTCTTCTCAAATTTGTTAAAAGTCATGAATTTAACATATAATAGTTTACTTCTGACAAAAATGTTTCGCTTCATTTCTTATTGTCTTAACATTTCAAAATTATTGAAAACATTTTTAATCATTTCATTAAAGAAATACTGAACTAAGTAAAACATTTTAATAAAAATTTAGTGAAGGCCACTCACAAATTTATATTAGTAATATGAATTTATTAACTTTCCTTAATTTGTTTAATTCTCTAATTTACATATAGCTTTATAAATTCAGTATGATAAATAACAGTCCTGTTAATGTTTTGTTAAATATACTTTTATAAATAGCTTTTATTTAAACAGGGTTCCCATTCAATTTCAGAAAAAAAAACTCCCTGACTTTTCCAGGAGGTATATCAGGTAAATTTCAATGAAAATCCATACCACATTTTATCTATATCATGCAATTTTTCATTGAAAATTTTGACTTTTTTTACTTGCAATGCCAAACATCAGATTTTGCAAGCAAAAACTCATAATAGAATGAAAATTGAAACATGGAAAAGCTACACTAAAAAGTAAATTTTATAAAATAATTATAGAAGATATTAGAATTATTTAACTTGAATCTCAGTAACTGATTACTGTTACTGGCAATTTTAAGACTGCTTATTTTCCAGGTTTTTTGTAAAAAAATTACAACTTTGTTTGCTTTTAAGAGTTAAAATAAAATTCCCTGACAATTCCAGGTTTTCCCTGACCCTTGAAAGCCCTGTTTAAATTTTAAAAAATTCACCTGCTAACTTTGTTAAATTATATATAATTATATTCTTTTTTACATAATTAAATAAAGTAATCATTAATTTAAAAATAAAATGAATGACCCAATATTGAATGTATTTAAAATTCTGCATAAATTGTTTTTATGGTCATGTCAATAATGTAATGAAGAAAAGATTTTTTGCCAGAAACTAGTAATTTTATCATGATCAGTTTTTGCAAATGTTTTTGCATTTCATTAATATAGCTACAAAACTATAAATGCACTTACAAGAACTTTCAACATCAGAAAGAGAATTTTTTATTAGTGCGCATATGATTTTCTTTAAGGTTAAATAATTAAATTACTACTTGGTCATAGGTAAATATTAAGTAGACTGGCAAAAAGTTATATACATCTCTAGTTAATACAATACATAATACAAGCACTTTTGATAAATAATAATAACACATACACAACAGTAAAGAAATAGGTACCTGGTTTAATTTCTTCTTGAATTAATTCAATTTCTAGTTCATCAGTGTTTGGATCCACTTTTCGCAAAATTCCTTCCTGCAAAAAAATAATTTTCCATTCAAAAATAACCATCACTGAAAACATTAACACATTTTCATAGTTTTAAAAGTTAGAATAAGAGAGAAAATTGAGTTTCTCCTTTAAAGTTATGTCTAAAAAGTATATTATAAAATTAAGCAAAATTACATCAATCTATTCTTACACGTAAAATAGCACATTGCATTCCTCAATGTTCAATTGCAGTTATGCACAATAACTTAATATTTTAAAATTAAGAAAAACATATCAAACCATTTTCACAAGTAAATGTATATCGAGGAAAAAGCTTGTTCCATTTTGGAAAAATGTTATGAGAAATTAAATAGAATGCGCAAATTCACATGAATTTAAAATCTAATTTGTATTGAACAACAATAAAAAGACACGTCACTATCAGAAAAATTAATTTGATTTGGACGATGTCATGCAAATTTTATTTAGTAAGAAGCTAACATACACACACACACAAAACTTTAAAAAGCACTCTATATCAACTAGGTCAAAACTTTTTTTTAAAACTTGCATTTGTTTTATTATTGTCAATTATACATTTGTTATTATTATTGCCAATGTAGTTGTGGCTTTAATTATAGCAATTCCCAATTAAGGCTGGATGATAACAATTAAATAAGTTTTTTACACTAAAACACAATGGTAAAAACACTGATGACTATTGATTTTATCCACAAAAATTAGAATTTCTTCCTTTTGTTAAATAACTTATGCCATGGAAATAAAAATATTAACACAGATGTAATATAATAAATAAATAAAATAAATCTGTGAATCAATCAGAATTAAGAAAAATAAATTTAGAACTTTTTTTACTTTATATTCAGAAACTTCAGGGCAATATTCTTCATTTAGTTCTAATACCTAAAAAGAAAACAAAATATATTAATATAGCAATTTTACATAGCAGCACAAAGCAATTTTTCTTATATTTTTTAAAAAAGTTAAACTATAATGAATAATAATAATAATTAAAAAAACATTAATAAAATCTCTTAACTAGATCTCTCATTAGAATCTCTTTTCATTCCCACATTATAATCCTTAGTTTTTATTTAAGTTACACTATAATCAGGGTTGCCACAGAAAAAAATGAACAAAATAGTTGCTTCTAGCAGCCTAATATGCACGAAAATAGTCGCGTAAAATTTTATTATAAGACTTCATTGAAATATACCATGATCCATTTAGTCAAGTTGATGGCCAATATGATAATTTTTAAATAAACGTTAGTATTCTAACACTAAATTTTCATATGAAAAAATTAGTATATTTGTAGAACATTAAATACTTTTAAATGCTAGAATTCAGAAATTTAAAAAACATACTCTTTCTATTAATTTTCCCCTTCACACAATTTTTCTTTTTATCAATAATTGATTTAGCAAACATATATATAGATACTAGGGGGCAGAGCCCACTGCTTGCTGCCGCTCTCCAACCCCCAATATTTCCTTCGCAATTAATTTCTGTATTATACTCACTATCAATAAAAAATTCTAACTAAATCAATTTAAAGTGTAATACATTGCAGATTTAAAGAAAAATACTATATACATTTGAAAATGATAAAAATTAAAAACTGCATTGTATGAGCATATGTTCTGGCTGAAATGTTGTGAATCAGAAGAGAGTCATAATAATAATTCTCTTAGTGCTTCGGAGTACTGGGGGGATTCTAGTTGAATTTTACCATGGTGGCAACAATTATGCTTGATTCTTCTGTGCTCATTTTGAAAAAGTAAAGCCTCACAGTAATCACATTTTACATTAATGCCAATCAATTTATGCTAAAAAAATACTGTTAGGAGCACAGACGTCTCACAATAGTCTCCTTTTCCTGAAAATAGTTGCTTTTTTAGCCTTTTCAAGCAAAAAAAAGTTGCCATAAATGCCTCAGGTCAAAAATAAGTGCAAATAGTCGCATTTTAGTATCCTGTGGCAACCCTGTATAATCCAAAATAAAATTAAAAAAAAAAACTTCATAAAATCTTTTCTTATTAGTAGTTATTTGCTTCTTATGGAAGTTTTCTATCATTTTAATAACATAACAATGAGAAAAAACAACGTTGATTGCCCAAGTTATAATAGTTAAATAATTATCAAGAAGAAATAAGAATGATCAAAAGAGAAGTACAATATCAGAACTGACTAAAATAAAATTTGTAATACAATACACTATATTTAATAGTTTTCTCGGTCCTTATCATAGAATTTTGTTCATATTCTATAGTATCATAGAATATGAACAAAACTTCACTTGTATTTAAAATATTAGTTTAATATTTACAAGTAGATGGGATATTTAATATTAAGTTAGCAAAAATTAACAATTTTATTTGCAGTAGAAAACTACCACTAACTTGTAGTTGTCCTTAGAAATCAAATCAAATGAATAAATGGTTTTCATTATTATTTCTAGAACTTTTTGCAGAAATAAAAGTTATATTTAAAATAAGTAGAAAATTTTCGTACCTTTATTTAAAGAAAAAAAAAATACAGTAATACTTATTTTACATATAAATGATATATGGAGAATGTTGGGGTAATCTGTTAGCCTTATAATATCTCTGAACTCACTTTGGCCCATAGTATCTATTGATATGGTCCTTGAACTTAAGATTAACAGAAATATAAAAAAGAAAAAGCAACAGAAAAAATATTTCGTAACAACTTTTAGTATGTTATTTACTACTGAAGTTCACCTTGATAATACTATTTTGTAATACATTACAACTATCACATTTCTTTGATACTGTATACAAAACAGATTTTGTTTTCTATACGAAATAAAAATTAACTTCAGGGGAAAATGAAATTTTTTAAATTCTTTTATCTTTTGTATACCTATAAGCTTTCTATTAAAATATAATTTGTAACTTCATCCTCTGTATTGTTACTTCATATACTTTAAAAACATTAATATATATTGACTATTTTATTTTAATTTATATTGACTGTGCCACAGTAAAGAAAATTGGTTAAATGTTTATTGGTCATTCATGTTACTTTCAAATCAATGATATTTCCTAATTTTTGTAGCTTGTTACTAATAAAAAGAGCAACTCTGATTTATGATACTGTCTAAAATCACCTTGTTAACCAAAAGTATTCATTGCTAAATAAATATTGAAATTAAAAGAACATTAAAATTTGAGAGACAAGACCTCAAACCTTATATGCCAAACGAGTACCCACAGGTGGCAAGGAATTTAAAGGTGTGTAGTTTTGATAAGCTGGCTTTACATCAGTCTTTGAGACATCAATGTTTTCCACCTATAACAAAAACATAAAATGAGAATAAAATATATTTAATTCCTAAAGCAAAAATGTTTTAGTTCAAAAGGCATCTGACTGTTGAAAGAAAAACTAGGTACAATTTGTTAGGTAATCTTTAAACAAGTTCTAACATTACATGGAAATATAAAAATACAATTTATTTAATTGGATCTAGTACCAGTGGCTGAATCATTAGTAAAGAATACTATATTATTTGTTTTAGAAGGCCCGTAAAAAATTGTCCTACAATTTTCGAGACTTAATTCTGGTACATCTGGTATTATATTAATAAGATAGGTAATGGGTGTAACAGTAATATGTTCCTGAAAAAGTATTTTAAGACTCCTTATATAGATAAATACCTTACTTTTTATTATTTAATATGCTGAATTGATAAAGCTATGCACATAGAGGGAAAATATTTGTTGATTTTCGTTAGCAGCTTCAATATTTCCTTATTCACTGCCAATTAGTTACAAATTTTATCAAGGTACAGTAGGGAACCGATTATCCGGAACGATCGGGACCATCGCTATTCCGGATAACTGATTTTTCCAACTTTCTGAATCGCTACAAAAAAACCGTTTTTTTTTATTGTTAAACCCAAATAAAAAAAAATTTTTTTTGGAAATAATCTTAAAAAGAAGAAAAAACGATGAAGTAATACACTNCCAATTGGTTACAAATTTTATCAAGGTATTTTAAAAATTTATATTTTCTTTAAAAATTGCAACAGGGTGCGTAGCCAAATCTTTCAAAAAAAAATAAGCACCTTTTAAGTACTTTTTAAGCATTCAAAAATATTTTTAAGCACTATATACATTAACAAAATGTAAAATAATTTTCAAACACTTTAGATGATCATTAGAAAATAACTAGTTTCTGACAAAAAACTTTTTTCTTGATTATATTAGCTGTTATAAACCGATCAAAAGATTTTTCGGTTTGATATCAGAGGGTGAAAAGTGAAGTCTGAAATAGCGAATATCTTGCAAAATGCAGCAGAGTTGCACATGAGAGTGCAAGAATCCCACCGAACCCAACTCTGTAGACGCACATACCGACTCGCAAGTATTTCATTAAACATCTAAAATGATAGGCGCTTTCATACGCTATGGACTGACAGTACCCCGAAATAAATTGTGAAAACATTGAATAGAACATTGTGAAAAGCACGCTTGTGCATAATACGTGGCGAAAATCGACATGGTAACGAAAAAAAAAATCCTATTTTAGAAAAGGGAAAATTAAGCACTTTTTAAAAACCAATAAAAATAGCACCTTTAAGGGCTTTTAAATAACGAAAATAAAAAATAAGCACGTTTAAGCACTTTTTAAAAATGCTAGTAATTAGGTTCAAAACTTTTAAATTAAAACTGAACAAGGGAATTGTTTCAATTCTTTGAAATGCTGCTAAACAATATTTAAAAAAAAAAAAATTCTTTTTTATAAAAAGAAAATCTTCCAGTTTTCAATTATGGAAATAACGAATCTCCATTGTACAAGATTTAATTAATTACTACTTATTTTTCAAAAAACTATTTAGTCCTAAAAAAGGCAAATAAACAAACCAGGTAGAATATTCATCTCTAACTATTCAAAAAAATCTTTTGACTATTCCAGTCTCGACAGAAAATTAGTATTGATGTTGCATTCTAAGCAAAAAAACTAAACAAATTTAAATTATCAATGTCTTTCCTAACATTGTAATTTTTCTTAAAATGAAACACAGATTAAAAAAAGGATAAAATAAATTCAAGCTTACAGAATAAGTATTGGAACTGCTACTGTTTCTTGGTAAAGGAGAGACACCCCATGGTTTCTCTTTCAACTTTTTCTTAGGAAAAGGAGTAGATTCTTTATTTAACCCACTTATCACAGATTCACAACCTTTTTCAAACTTAGCCTCAATTTCAGAGTCTTCCTTGAGAGACTTGTTTCTTGAAGAATCTAGTTTGGAATTGCTTTTAACATTATTTTTTCCAATTGGCAACACTTTTGCATCATCGAAGCTGCTATTAAGATCACTCTCCATGGTTATTGACATGTCTGTGCTTTTAGGAGAAGGAGAGCGAAATATTACATGCTTTCTTATATTTGAGGAGGTGTTATAGGTTTTCTCACATTCAACATCACAAAGAAAACTTCCCTCCATCTCTGTTGTAACATCTGCTGGCAAACTTAAACTTTCAGTAGTCAAAATTGCTCTACGTTTTCTCCTCCGACGTCTCGTTTTGCAGCGACTTTTCACGCTATCATCTTGACTTCCACTGTTGTTGAGGGATTCAGTCAAATTTAAAAGAGCCTGACTGTCTGACAGCACATAAGTACTACTCTCAGGTATGGGACTTAAATTAGTTTTACTAAATAATTCACAAGTCTTATACAGATTAGAGTCAGAAACACCATACTCGACTTTTTTACCATTTGTAACATTCACATCAGATTGGCAAACATTCTGATTATTTTTTTCTGCCTCAGATAGTTTCACAGCAAAATTGATGAAATCGCTAGTGGGTGTCTTATGATATGGTCTTTTCTTTTTTCCAACAGGTTGCTTATTACTTTTCCCTTTATCGTGTGAAGTATTGACTGCTGAATTTTTTTCCAAGCCTGATAAATTCTCGTGTGAAGAAAAATCTCCCGATTCATCAGAAATACATGAAGTCTCATTTCTCTTTTTCTTCTTTTTACTATTTGCTGAGAGAGTATAGTTTTCCATTGACAATGTTTCACTTTTTCTTTTACGAGATTTATCTAGACTAACTACACTATTAGAAAGAGAATGAACAGAAGCTTGATTCATTGAAAAGTTAATACCTAGGGCGCTACATTCTAAAGATGTTTCACATGGATTTTCAAGCTGTATTCTAGAAAAAAAAAAATATTTTTGATTATCATAAGGATTAGTGAACCAAAGATATAACAGGGGTAATTGTGAGTCCAAGTCAAAATTCCGGAAAATTTCTTAAATAAAAAAAAGAAGTTTAAGTCGAAAAATTAGAAAAAAATTTAAACAAGGTTTTTTTCCCTCTTCTCAATATTTCTTAGTTTACTTAAACCTATTAGTTTACTATTACACATACCTATACCATTCACACATACCTATGATGACCTGGAGAAGTAATTGAAATTTACAAATATGTCTTTCTTTCTTGAGTTTATGATTATAATAGCTATTTACTGATAAAAAATGAATATTAATCTTGAATATAAGCTTATAAAGTATCTGGGTCTCCTTTACAAACAAATAAAATAAACTGTGTTTTTACATTCCACCTCTGAAAATTTGATTTCCGTAAACTTTTGTGATCAATGATTTTTTGAAACGTCTGAACCTTCGATCTCTTTAAACTTCCGGATCACGGTTAGCAAAAAATCCGGATTTTTTCCAGAGCACAATCAGTCCTGATATAAGACAAAAGTTTGCATTATAGAAAATATTAGTTATTTTTAATAACTTCAGCAGCATCATTAGAAAAAGGTCAGAGTGTGAAAACTCCCATAAAGCTAAAAGAATAGTACATGTTGCCCAATTAGTTCAAAATTCAGAATACTTTTTAAAAGAGAAAACTGATAAACTCAAAGAACAACATTGTTTTCTCTACGTTCCACCTTTTAGTTGTCTGTTTGCTTTGATTTATAAAATTCATGAAAAATGTCTTAATATCAAAAATTGAAGCTCTGAAATTGAGAAGTAATTTTTGAAAATGTAGAGTATAAAAAGGAAATATCGGTAAGTCTATTTCTAACAAACACAATTTATTTTGAAAAATTTACAATAATAAAAGAAAATGGAATAAATAATTCAAGTAAACTATATCAGAACAGGTTATCTAGCACAAATGTATTGAAATATTTCACACTTTGATTTACAAAAAAAAACAAACAAACAAAGATGCACTTTTGGTATTTAACATCCAACATCAAAATGCATAATTAATAGTACTGTGTGATTAAGATTTAACGTAATAACATATTTTTCTGTTTAAAGCAAGATTTTATATCTCATTTGTATAATCTATTTCGATTTTAAAAATAATAAATATTTTAATTGTAAATCAATAATTATTTTTACATTCAACGTCATTGCTTTTCTTTTAAATAAATTTGCTTTTACCTATTTCCCTCTCATATTTTGCATTTTCTCTATAAAATGAAGTGAATAAATAAAACATTGTAATTGGCATTATTGCAATTTAAAATTTTCTATCCTTCTTCAAATCAGCATGATTTTTTTTTTCAAATTAATGTGATCCCATTTAACACGATCCTGCGTTCTTAAAATCCAATATTACAACCCATAATCACATGATTTTAAAACTCAAATATCACATTTCTCATTTTGTGTATATCTTTGCATCTTAATACATATTCAAAAAATTTAAAGAGTCAGTTTTTTATCTATCAACTACTAAGAGTTAGACATTTTTCAGTTAACTACACAGCTGTACTTGGACAGCTGTTAATTCATCAATGAAAAGCTCTAAAAAGAAATAGAACAAATGAGAAGTAGAGAACTCACAGAAGATCCTTTTTTTCTACACTGTTTATTTGATTTCATTTTTAAAATTTTTCAATGCACATATATTTGTTATCTTGTGGACAATTATCTCCAAATCTATATTTGACATAATTGAAAAACAAAAAAAATTAATAAAATGTATGAACAATTTTTTAACAAGGCATTGTCAAAGATATATTAAAAATAAAAGTTTAATTTTTAGTATTTTATCAAATATATTGCATATATTTCAAAATATATTTCATACTAAACATAAAAAATAGTGATTGCTGAAATATATGTTTTTCATTAATCAAAATATTTACAAAAATATTTTCCATTTTTTACAAAAATATTTTTATTTTACAAAAATTTAACCCAAAAAATAAAACCTGGCCCCCAGTGGTTGTTATAACCTATATTTATCCTTATTAGGATGACTTAATTTTTAGTAACTATGCTCATTGGGAAAAGCAATCCCTCGTACCAAACTTTGCCAAAGCCCCCCTCCCCCCCAAAAAAAATCAGTTTTGAAAACCCTTATTCAAAACATAGAAGCACAGTATCACTACATCTTCGGTCAACAGAGGAAAAGCAATGACTATAGCAATGCAGAAAGTGTAAGCATTGATAAATTTTTTTTCCGTATCAGTAGCCATGCTCTAGGAATGAAAGATGTCATAACAATAATAAAGTGACAGCAAACATAAAAAACAAATTAGGCACCCGTATAACTCTCTTTTAAAGAAATTTCCTTTATTTTGCTTCATTTACAATGATCAATATAACCCTGTGATCATTGCATCAGATGATTTGGATCATTCTATACGGAGTATAATTCCATATCTGGACATAACTCTTGAAGATATTTCAGCCAGTATCAGCTGTGTGAACAAATGGTCAGGTGGCCCTTCATGCCAGTTCTAAAATATGTTGAGTGCAGCTGCAATTCCAAAACTTCAAGATAAGTATAAAATAAAAATAATTTGGAATAACTTCGCCTCATCTAATGGAAAGGGTCCAGTGGATGGAATAGGTGGTGCCAAAAAGGGGACAAGTAAGAAATTTTGTTAAGACATGCAAAGGCACAGTTTTTAATGCTAGTTATTTTACTGCTGCAGCTCAAGCAAGCAGCCGCGATATTAAAGTATTTGAAATAAAGTATGATGAAATTGAAAAACATAATGAAAATTTAAACATTTATTCAGTATTTGAGAAAGCATTGCCTATTGAAAACATATCCAAAATGCATTGCATTTATGTAGGACATCAGAAATTAGATAAAGGTACTCATTTGACAAATGAAACAGATTCAAATTTAGTAGTTGAAAATTCAAAGCAATACCTAGGCCTAATCACCAGAAAATATTAAACTTGGAACCTTTCTATTAGTTTAATATTTGGGAAAAAGACATGTATTCCATTATGTAGCGATTTCGCAGAGCGGAGTGGAAGATGATAATGAATTGAAGGTTATGGTTCTGAAGAATGAAGAACATAGATAAAACTGTTTTTAGTACAGATGAAAATGATATTACCTATATAACATTTGATCATGTTCTTCAAATTTTACCAAATCCAACAACGAGACAGTGATATTATGAACTCAATGAAAAACTTTATATGCTTAAGCAAGTTAATTGCATTGCTGCTTAATAGGAAACAAGAAAATGTTTCAATGTATTATGAAGAGAGAAGTACATTTAAACTATGTGCAAAGTTATAGCGCTTGTTAAGAACAATTTGTGCTGAAATATAGCTCTGATTTTTCAGCACTTAATTCAATGTCTTTTTTGGTGGATGAGTAATCAAACTACTAAAGAATTAATTGTTAATAATATTTTTAATGATATATTATTTAAAAAGACAAATTTTCATAAGCAGGAACTTTTTGGGGAGAAAATAAAGGGGAAATTACCGTATTGTGATCTGTGGCAGAATAATCACCAAGTCTTGGAAACTTCCAGGAAATAGCGCATGAGAAACTAAAAAAAAACATCAGAGAAAGGGACTAACTCGAAAGGTATAACTCGTAGCCACCCCCAGGTAAACATCTACATATTTTTTCCAAAAAAATTTGCAAGTTTGAAATCTATTTAGCACCTTGGCAATTATAGTTGGCGCGACAGATCACAATACGGAAATATCCCCAAAATAAATACAATATTTATTATTTTGCCAGATTTCAAAATTTGATTTTGAAAAAAATGTAGCTTACCATGGAATTGCCCATAATTTTTTTTAAGATTAGCTTTTTACTAAGACTTTGGATATTTGGCTAATTTACTAGCTAATAATTTGATATCCTTAACGTGAGCCCTGAATAAGCGATAAACTAAAGCTTAGGTACACACTTTGCTTTATTAACCTTATCCTTAATAAGAGAAAATAAAAGAAACTGTTTTTGTTGTAGTTAATTTACGTCGCACTAGAGCTGCACAATGGGCTATTGGCGACGGTTTGCGAAACATCCTTGAGGATGATCCGAAGACATGCCATCACAATTTTGATCCTCTGCACAGGGGATGGCACCCCTGCTTCGGTAGCCCGACGACCTGCACGCGAAGTCGAGTACTTTAAGGTATAACATTTTAACGAGCAAGTGGTCACCCACCCGCACACTGTCGGTGATCTGCTGGGAACCGTGTCTTAACGATCAGTCCACTGCGGGGCGAAAATAAACTTAACTTGATAACTACTATAAAAGGTTTATGAAGTCACAATACAAATAAATATCAACAGTCAAGTATTAAAGTGATAAACAAAAGATTAAACCTTTGTTATCTCACATTTATATAACTTGAAAGAGTTTATACTTACTTAACAGTATCCTCTTCTCTTAATATTGCAATTTTTTCAGTTTCTAACAATAGACCATCACGGACATATAATTTGAATCCTTCTTGAGGAATAGAAAATTTTCTGATAATAGCTTGCTTAAAATCATCGATAGTTTTTAATTCACGCGGCGAAACATACATCCAGACGTATTTTAATCCCGATACTCCCGGGTTAGCTTCTGAAAAGTCTAATAGCACACGAAATGGTTTTTCTTCCATAATTCAAGAAGCAATAGTTTTAACAATGATTTAGAAATTATGTGCCTCACTAGAAACCCGAACCATATTTTCTGTACTTTTTGTAAAGTGTGCGAAAAACAGTTTTGTTTCAGTTCTTTTCAGTTTTCACTATTGACTGAGGTGGCGAGGAGATTATGATATGTTAATTCGGAGATGCGAGCTTGACTCTAATTGGTGTGTATATTGATAGGATATTTGAGAGTTAATTGACGCAACCCAAATCTGCAGAAATAGATCGCCGGAAACGTATCATGATCGTAAAAACATTATTTAAAAATGAAAACAAACAAATCATGATAGACATGTTTTCCATAATTGATTATTATTTTTTTATAAATGAAATTTAACTCATAATTTTTAAAAAAAATCGAAAGTCACAGCAGTTATTAACTAAAAATTATTTTTAATTTCTTTTCATGGAAGGACTAGTTATAGAGAATTCTTGAATTTATAAATTTTACAAATGGGAAAGGGTCAAAAATCAAAAGGCGAGGGAAAGCGAGAAAGAAAGGACATTTACGAACGCTTGTGTTATCTTTTTGAGGTTTGGTTTTAGAATGTATTACATTAATATCTATTAATCTCATAATTCAGTAAAATAATTATTTATTGATATATTTTATCTACCAGATATTGATATATTTTAACCTGTCAAATTAGATATAATGCATGGTATGTGAACAGAAGGATTTTATAATGTAATAGAAGGATTATAATGAATAATTATGAAAAAACGTTCTAATTATAAGTAGAGGATTATTATAACTACGCAAGTTGGTAAAGATATCCATTTGCTCGTTATGGAAGGAGGATAACGTTTCTGAGGAAGAAAATCAGCTTAAAATTCTTTTTAAAATAGTAGAAATTTTTTAAAAATTCATCTGCTTTTTTAAAATATTAATAGTATAATAAATTGATGCTAGTTTCCCCCTCCCCATTTATTCTATTTTTTTAATCTCTTATTCAGGGGATATTTCTGTTTTGCAATCTGTCACATAAACTACAATCACCAAGCTGCCAAATAGATTTTAAACTTGCAAATTTTTTAAAAGAAAAAACTGTAGAGATTATCCTTCAAGTCGGTACCTTTGTGATATATATATATTTAATTTCTCAAGATCCATTATCTGATATGCCACAATTATTCTGCTGCAGATCACAATATAAAAATCTTCTCATTTGTGTCATTCTGTCAGTTTTTTTAAAATTTGCATTTTTTATTATGGTGAGTAATATGAAGTAGTGAAATTTTTATGTTGAAAATATTCTGTTAATCACTATAATGAATATATTTAAAGTTGGAATTATAATCATAATTTATAATTTCATATGTTTAGTAATATGTTTTGTTACATGCTGAAATTTTAAAATATTGATGCTACAAATGTATTTGTTTAATTATAATAAATCATTTGAAACAATATGCTTTCAGCTTAATGTACTCCAAATTGTGATTTACGCTTATAAACACTGGGAAGTGACCAGCAAATCACTGAGAAACACATCACAGAAGGGGACCAACTCATAGCCACTCCTAGGCCAATCTCTACACTTTTTTTTTTTTTAAAAATTTTGCAAGTTTCAAATCTTTTTGGGGCCTTGGTGACGAATCGGCTTGACAGTTCATGACATCGAAATATCCCCCTTTTAATTATATATTTTTTAAAGTTTAATTTGTATCAAAACATGATCCATTATTATTCTTATTTTTTTACTTGTATTTATTTATGGCTTTTTAATAGTCATAAATTGCATTTATCAAATTTTTTTATTATTTCAGTTTAAAAAAAAAAAATTATGTCTTTTCTTTTTATTTTTTAAAAACAGGCTGGTTATACTTTAGTTCTGGCTTGCCCCTCCAATACGGGATTAATTTGTTCCTATGGACATATGATCACGATGCTAGCAAAAAAAAATCTTTGTAAACTGTAAGTAACACATGCATTTTTATTATTTCACAAAAATATTTAATTTTAGCTGTCTATGTATTAAAAATAATCTTGGAAGCCTATTTTATGTATGGGTACTTAATGAAATTTAGATATCAGGTACTTGATAACTTAACCATTTCAATGGTAGTTGTTCAGAGGGGGACGTAATTTTTTTGTGTGTTTATTGCAACTCTGCTGTTGATTTTTATTTCTATAAAAAAACAATAAAGGATATTCCCATCTGGGCTGTTTGTGTTGTTGTAATTATGAAAGAGCTTCTTGTCTGGTTCTTTTACTTGCAATAAATAAAAAATAGCAATTTTCTAAGTTAATTGAAAAATCTAGTTCTTTCCACTTTTTGCCTGCATTTTGCAATGTACCAAGCTGATTGACAGGTATCTTATAATAAGCCAACATACCTGTCAGGTAGGCTAATTAGAAATATCAAGCATTGCTTAATTTGCTTTATTTATTCAGAAAATATAATAACAATTTATGAAAAATAAATTGCCTTATTAGAGGTTTTTGGCAATAAGCCTTCATGCCTTTAAAAAAATTGCTCAGTAAAATCAACTTAAGCGACAAATAATTCAAAGTTGAGTCTTTTATATCTTTTCCACTTTTAATCAGCTACCTTTTGCAAAAAAAAGTTTTTTTTTTTCAAAAATAAATTCTATTTTAGCGTTTATAGCATTATCAGTGGGGGGGGGGGAAAGTTGTCAAGATACTTTCTATGAAACTTTTCCGGAAAGCGCTTTTGTTCTTTTTGCAATCCCACAGTAGTAAAGGTATATTAACTCACTGCAATAAGCCTAAAAATCTGGTCCAGCTGGTTGGAAAATACTTGAGATTGTTTCAATTAACCTCAAATTTATTATAAAAGGGTGATGTTTGTTTGAAAAAGAGTCAAAATGTTTTGGGCATATATAATGACATTTATATTCAAGATTTTTCCCCTTTTCTGATGTATTTTTTTTCCTTCTCGCATGCAGTTGACCCTCCCCCTAATTTTTTTAAGTTTGGTTTTTTCTTATTGAATCAGCTAGAAGTATACAGATTAGTTAAAAATTCCCACAAAAATTACTATCTATAAATAAGTATCTTATTTTTTTGTTTAATAAATTTGGATTCAGAACTGCCAAAATACATGTTCTGCAATATTTAAAATAATTACTTCAATTACTTAGTTAGGAGAGAAGTTAAAAATTTCCCTCCTTATTGAAAATTTTAACATTTTTGTTCACTTATTTATACTTGCACTTAGAGTAGTTCTAGCTAAATTCTCTACTGAAAGAGGATTGAGACAAGGTAATGCCCTTGAATGCATGTTTTTTAATATACCCCTGGAAAAATTATTAGAAATGCTGAAATTATTATTGGGGGCACCATTTTCAGAAAAGTGTGCTGTTATTAGGGTATGCTGATCACAGAACTAAATAGGCAAATGTGGAGATTTTTATTTCATTTAGGTCTGTAACCAAAGACATTGGACTTACTATAAATGAGAAAACAAAAATTTATGATTGTAATAAAACAAAATTAGCACTCAACTCTCTTCTATTGCAAATAAAATCTTATGCTTTTGAGAATGTCGATCAATTTACATACCTATCTCGATACTATCATTTCTAATTAGAATAATATTAAACTTGAAACTGACAATGGATTATGCAGGGCAAATAAATGCTACCGTGACTTAAATTTATTTTGAAATTTTAACTGCTAATTTTCAAAACAAATATAATATTTATACAACTTTTAATAGAGCTATCATATTGTATGGTAGTGAATGCTGATAATTAACAAAAACAGATAAAGACAGATTTTTAGTCCTTGAAAGAAAAATTCTCAAAAAATATTTGGCCCAATAACGAATATTATTAGTAATAATAATATAATTAATGTTATTTTTTGTTGTGTTTGTGATTCATACATTTTAATATTTAATCTGAAATGTTTCTAGCTATCCCCACATAAAGAGACATATTTGCAAGAAGTGCCATTTAATTTTGCGACCAGGTTTGACGTCAAAAGTGATGCTTAAAAGTAAGTATTCCAAGTATGCTTAAAATATATATTTACATACATATTTACAGTGCTCCAAAGAAAAAAAAGAAAAAAGAAGAAGAAACGTATTACCCTTAATAACTTTTGTTTTACTGATCGGAAATTCACATCCTAGCACTCAATCTTAATGTCTCGAGGGGGTGACCTCAGATATGCTATTTAATAAGTACAGACCGTATTTTAAGTTACAAAATCAGTCATGAAAACATACTTTCGCTGAATAAACATGCCCTTTTTTCCATGGATTCGGCTTTTTGACCCCAAAAATATAGGGGATAGCCGTAATCTGGGAAATATTGTTCAAATAGTTGGGTCAGGTAGGTGCTCTATAGTTTGGACCTCTTCATGTTAATTTTACTTTTTTGCAATTTTCTCTATATCTCGTGAACTTTTAAGTGAATTGAAAAACGTATATACAGTAGAGTCCCGATAATCCGAGTCCCGGTTATCTGAGTTTCCGCTTTAACCGAGTTATCAAATATTGTAAGGATTTTTTTGTTCTAGTTTATTTTTTATTTTTAAAAATACCGCCGAAAAATAAATCTAAATTTTATCTTCGAAACACTCGGAAAAGCAAAATCTAACATCCCATGAAATGATCGTTAATATCGTCAATAATGAAAATGAACCTTGCAAGCTCAGAAATTCGTGGCCTTCTGAAAAAATGTAATTCAGAGAAGGTATGTTTTCGTATCTGATTTCATAACTTAAAATATTATCTACACTTACTACTTAGCATATTTCACGTCACCCCCTCAAGCCATTAAGATTGAGTCCTAGAACGTGAATATCTGATCATTCAAGAGTTATTCTGGGTGGTCCTTTTTTTCTTCTTTGTGCACTGTACATAGTTTATCAGTTTGTAAGACTTCTATCGAAATAGTTATTGCACTACTTTCTCAATCTTGTTTTTAAATAGGTTTTTAAACATAAATATCAGTTTTAATATTCTGATTTTAGTCTTCTGGAAAGTAAGATGACAAAAAACAAGTAATTTTCAATAGTAATAGAATGTAATTGAGCATTCTCTGCTGAAAAAAATGTTTTGTTATTCATTAAGGTTCTGTTTTTCTTACAATAGCTGTACGATTTTATTTATATAAAAAACTCTTAAAGGTGAGGTGTAACTTTTAATAACTTTCTCAATAACAATAACTTTTAATGGTTCTATAAATTTTTCTTCCATTTAATAATGTTCAAAATTTATTATTAGTTTTTTTTTGATTAGAATTCATAATGTTATTAAGGGCTCTAGTAAAAAACGCCTGACGTCAATTTTTTTATAAAAAAGTACTTTTCAAGAGTAAATTAAATTTTCACAAATTACTGAAATTATAAAAGATTTGAACAACTTGGGTAGAAATATGGAATAAAAATAAATGGAAAAATTAACTAGCTCTAAAATTAACATACTGTTCTTTTAAATGGTTTTCAAGCGCACAGAGGTGAATTATCTTCCTCTTTTAAGCATTACTGATCACGAAAAGCTTAAGTATACACATAATACTGACTGAAAATTTTAGACAGAACTGAATGGTTTATTAAAGTGATGCTGTGCTTGTAAATGATTTAAAAATGCAAAAGGACAAATTACATTCCTCATTTGTAAATTATTAAGAAAAGCCTTATAGTTCCGATTATCAATTATTTTAACTGACTTGCTTAGATGGAGCTACTAAAATTATTTTTATTTAAAAATTTTAAGGGGCACATTCACTGTGTTTTCATTTAAAGAGTATTGAAACCTCTCTTCAAAATTACGAATTTTAATGACATATATTGGTATATTTACTTATTGATTCTGTTTATATATTTTGATGCAACAGTACTATTAAAGTTTTCCATGTATTGATTTGAAACTACTATAAATTTTTCAATGCTGATAAAATGTCATTAATAACTTAATTTCATAATTACTTTGTTTAGAACATAATATGTTTCGTTACTTTTTTACTGTAAAATTTACTTTTAAAGTAGTATGGTATATATGTATACTATTCTAAAAAATGTCTTATTTTTTTTCTTTGGTGCACTACAAAGCCTGTGTTACAATAGAATTACTTTTATTAAATTTGTAATTCTTTTAAAAATGTTGCATTATGAGCTACATTTTGGGGAATCTTTGTCTTCATGTATTTCTTACAATTTTCATAGCAATTCAAGGGTTCAAAAAGTAGATTTATTTACTGTAAAATATGTTCTATTTATGTTAACAATGTACTGTAAAATCTTACTATTCTAATTATGTTTCTCATTTAAGTAATTTAACTGTTTTAATTCATCTTTTTTAAAATTTATTCTAATTGCTTGTCTTTGATCTTTCCAGATAAAAAGAATGGAAGAGGAAAACACACTGAAGTGACTTGTCAATTGTGTGGGACAAAAAAACGTTTCCTCAACAATCCTAATCACAAATTATTTATCGATAAAGAAATAGAAAAAAATAAAAATAAATTAATTTGATACTTCAAGTTATTTGAATTCAATATCAATTTCCAATATTTCATTTATGGTTGACTAACACAATAAATATGCCCCACCTTCTAAAAATTAACCTAATGAAGTATGAAGGCTAGTTCTTGATAAAGTCTTAAGTTTCTTATGATTCTATTTGATAGTTAAGGTGATTCTTCAGAGGCTCTGTTGTTATTTGAAGTAATTATTTTTAGTAAATAACAATTATTTTTTTTCCATAAAAGTTGTAAGTTTGTAAATCATTCAAGAATTATGTTTAGAGTCTTCTATACCAATTATGAAAATTGCATGTCAAGTTAAAGACCACAATTTTGTGAAAATAAAAAAAAATTGTGGTCGAAATTTTTAAAAATTTGAAAATTTACTGCATTGTTTAAACTCTTAACAAATTAGCAATTTTTTTAGAAGATAAAAAATGTACCAAACTGGAGATTTTTTTTTAAAAAGTAATTTTTCAAATTCTCTTGCTATTTCTAAATTTTTAAGTCTAGACAATTCTATTTAGTAAGATATTATGCAGAGTTTGAATAAGTTTAGGCTTTGCTGTGATATTCCAATTGGGTTTTTTATTTTGTAAAAGAGTTTTAAAGAACACTTGATGTTAGAGTAATTCCAGTAGAGATGAGAAACAGTTTTAAAAATTATTATTGAGAATGAAAGCCAGTTTTTTGTTTGTTAAGTTCTAGTTCTTTTTTTTTAATCATTTGTATTAAAGTCCTCTGTTCTGTTTAAATTGTAATCAACTAATTAATATCAGTGCTGTAATGTCAGAGTCTCATAACCTAAAATATTTAATTATATACAAGGGTTATTCAAACATTTTTAAAATGGCTCATTTGCAAATAAATTACTTTAAAAGGTTTATTGCAAAAGTTACATCCACTTTCTAAACATAAGAACTGCTGGCTTTCTAATACATGCAGTACAGTGGGGTCAAGTTAATGTAATTTAGTATCACAGCAAGTGTGGTATTTCTACCTGCACATCTCAGTTTGTAAAAAAGTGTAACTTTTTCATGTGCAAGAACAGGTAGAGATGATGCAACTTCAGCTATGTTGCTCTGTGGCAAAGCTCACCCTTGTATGGCAAATTTCACTGAAAGTCAGCTATGGTTTTACTAGGTGTTTAACCATCAATCCTATTGTCCTAATCGGTTCTTGCACATTAGAAAAATATCTGTTGTGTACAGACATTTGTGGCACCCTGTTTTCATTCCCAGACGGAAGACTTCTACTACTGGGTTACAAGACTTTATTCCATGGATGTTACAATCATAAGTGTAATGGGAAAGAACATTTTTTTTTTTTTTTTAAAATTTAGTTATATATATGTAACATAAAAGGCTTCCTTTAATCTTTATCCTTTTCTTAATTTAATATTCAAAACAAAAAGCTTTCTCTAACTTTTAAATTCACATCCTGTCCTTTTATCTATTTTTGGCTCAAGTATGCATTAATTAAAAGTAGACATTTTCCCCTTTGTTCTTAGTGGTAATCGTGCGACCTATTTAATATATCAATTACAATTACTAAGATTTCTCTTATTCCCTAAAACGGAACATTTTATGGATTTTCAGTTTTTGAGCAATCATTTTTTAAAGCTCTATAATTGCGACTTAGCCATCGTATATCAACATCATTTTCCGGATTCATCAGTTATTTAAAAAAAATGATCTATATTTAAAAGAATCGAGATAGCTCAGGGGATAGAGCGTTCGTCTTCCAATGAAGTGACCCGGATTTGAATTTCAGCAATGGCTGGTCGATACGAATTCCGCATCCGTCTTGCACCGACCACAGTGCTGACGTGAAATATCCTAAGTGGAAGACGGATCATGCGTTAGAGTCCCCTTTCAGTCAGGCTAACCGTGGGAAGTTCTCGTGATCTTCCTCTCCATGTAACTCAAGTGCGGATTAGTTCCATCAAAAAGTCCTCCATGAAGGCAAATTTCTTTTAATGCTTGATCCAGGAGTTCCCTTGTCTTCTGGATTGGGTTCAAAATTACAAGGCTACTTTACATTTCGTTTAATAAANAGCTTCTGAAAAGTCTAATAGCACACGAAATGGTTTTTCTTCCATAATTCAAGAAGCAATAGTTTTAACAATGATTTAGAAATTATGTGCCTCACTAGAAACCCGAACCATATTTTCTGTACTTTTTGTAAAGTGTGCGAAAAACAGTTTTGTTTCAGTTCTTTTCAGTTTTCACTATTGACTGAGGTGGCGAGGAGATTATGATATGTTAATTCGGAGATGCGAGCTTGACTCTAATTGGTGTGTATATTGATAGGATATTTGAGAGTTAATTGACGCAACCCAAATCTGCAGAAATAGATCGCCGGAAACGTATCATGATCGTAAAAACATTATTTAAAAATGAAAACAAACAAATCATGATAGACATGTTTTCCATAATTGATTATTATTTTTTTATAAATGAAATTTAACTCATAATTTTTAAAAAAAATCGAAAGTCACAGCAGTTATTAACTAAAAATTATTTTTAATTTCTTTTCATGGAAGGACTAGTTATAGAGAATTCTTGAATTTATAAATTTTACAAATGGGAAAGGGTCAAAAATCAAAAGGCGAGGGAAAGCGAGAAAGAAAGGACATTTACGAACGCTTGTGTTATCTTTTTGAGGTTTGGTTTTAGAATGTATTACATTAATATCTATTAATCTCATAATTCAGTAAAATAATTATTTATTGATATATTTTATCTACCAGATATTGATATATTTTAACCTGTCAAATTAGATATAATGCATGGTATGTGAACAGAAGGATTTTATAATGTAATAGAAGGATTATAATGAATAATTATGAAAAAACGTTCTAATTATAAGTAGAGGATTATTATAACTACGCAAGTTGGTAAAGATATCCATTTGCTCGTTATGGAAGGAGGATAACGTTTCTGAGGAAGAAAATCAGCTTAAAATTCTTTTTAAAATAGTAGAAATTTTTTAAAAATTCATCTGCTTTTTTAAAATATTAATAGTATAATAAATTGATGCTAGTTTCCCCCTCCCCATTTATTCTATTTTTTTAATCTCTTATTCAGGGGATATTTCTGTTTTGCAATCTGTCACATAAACTACAATCACCAAGCTGCCAAATAGATTTTAAACTTGCAAATTTTTTAAAAGAAAAAACTGTAGAGATTATCCTTCAAGTCGGTACCTTTGTGATATATATATATTTAATTTCTCAAGATCCATTATCTGATATGCCACAATTATTCTGCTGCAGATCACAATATAAAAATCTTCTCATTTGTGTCATTCTGTCAGTTTTTTTAAAATTTGCATTTTTTATTATGGTGAGTAATATGAAGTAGTGAAATTTTTATGTTGAAAATATTCTGTTAATCACTATAATGAATATATTTAAAGTTGGAATTATAATCATAATTTATAATTTCATATGTTTAGTAATATGTTTTGTTACATGCTGAAATTTTAAAATATTGATGCTACAAATGTATTTGTTTAATTATAATAAATCATTTGAAACAATATGCTTTCAGCTTAATGTACTCCAAATTGTGATTTACGCTTATAAACACTGGGAAGTGACCAGCAAATCACTGAGAAACACATCACAGAAGGGGACCAACTCATAGCCACTCCTAGGCCAATCTCTACACTTTTTTTTTTTTTAAAAATTTTGCAAGTTTCAAATCTTTTTGGGGCCTTGGTGACGAATCGGCTTGACAGTTCATGACATCGAAATATCCCCCTTTTAATTATATATTTTTTAAAGTTTAATTTGTATCAAAACATGATCCATTATTATTCTTATTTTTTTACTTGTATTTATTTATGGCTTTTTAATAGTCATAAATTGCATTTATCAAATTTTTTTATTATTTCAGTTTAAAAAAAAAAAATTATGTCTTTTCTTTTTATTTTTTAAAAACAGGCTGGTTATACTTTAGTTCTGGCTTGCCCCTCCAATACGGGATTAATTTGTTCCTATGGACATATGATCACGATGCTAGCAAAAAAAAATCTTTGTAAACTGTAAGTAACACATGCATTTTTATTATTTCACAAAAATATTTAATTTTAGCTGTCTATGTATTAAAAATAATCTTGGAAGCCTATTTTATGTATGGGTACTTAATGAAATTTAGATATCAGGTACTTGATAACTTAACCATTTCAATGGTAGTTGTTCAGAGGGGGACGTAATTTTTTTGTGTGTTTATTGCAACTCTGCTGTTGATTTTTATTTCTATAAAAAAACAATAAAGGATATTCCCATCTGGGCTGTTTGTGTTGTTGTAATTATGAAAGAGCTTCTTGTCTGGTTCTTTTACTTGCAATAAATAAAAAATAGCAATTTTCTAAGTTAATTGAAAAATCTAGTTCTTTCCACTTTTTGCCTGCATTTTGCAATGTACCAAGCTGATTGACAGGTATCTTATAATAAGCCAACATACCTGTCAGGTAGGCTAATTAGAAATATCAAGCATTGCTTAATTTGCTTTATTTATTCAGAAAATATAATAACAATTTATGAAAAATAAATTGCCTTATTAGAGGTTTTTGGCAATAAGCCTTCATGCCTTTAAAAAAATTGCTCAGTAAAATCAACTTAAGCGACAAATAATTCAAAGTTGAGTCTTTTATATCTTTTCCACTTTTAATCAGCTACCTTTTGCAAAAAAAAGTTTTTTTTTTTCAAAAATAAATTCTATTTTAGCGTTTATAGCATTATCAGTGGGGGGGGGGGAAAGTTGTCAAGATACTTTCTATGAAACTTTTCCGGAAAGCGCTTTTGTTCTTTTTGCAATCCCACAGTAGTAAAGGTATATTAACTCACTGCAATAAGCCTAAAAATCTGGTCCAGCTGGTTGGAAAATACTTGAGATTGTTTCAATTAACCTCAAATTTATTATAAAAGGGTGATGTTTGTTTGAAAAAGAGTCAAAATGTTTTGGGCATATATAATGACATTTATATTCAAGATTTTTCCCCTTTTCTGATGTATTTTTTTTCCTTCTCGCATGCAGTTGACCCTCCCCCTAATTTTTTTAAGTTTGGTTTTTTCTTATTGAATCAGCTAGAAGTATACAGATTAGTTAAAAATTCCCACAAAAATTACTATCTATAAATAAGTATCTTATTTTTTTGTTTAATAAATTTGGATTCAGAACTGCCAAAATACATGTTCTGCAATATTTAAAATAATTACTTCAATTACTTAGTTAGGAGAGAAGTTAAAAATTTCCCTCCTTATTGAAAATTTTAACATTTTTGTTCACTTATTTATACTTGCACTTAGAGTAGTTCTAGCTAAATTCTCTACTGAAAGAGGATTGAGACAAGGTAATGCCCTTGAATGCATGTTTTTTAATATACCCCTGGAAAAATTATTAGAAATGCTGAAATTATTATTGGGGGCACCATTTTCAGAAAAGTGTGCTGTTATTAGGGTATGCTGATCACAGAATTAAATAGGCAAATGTGGAGATTTTTATTTCATTTAGGTCTGTAACCAAAGACATTGGACTTACTATAAATGAGAAAACAAAAATTTATGATTGTAATAAAACAAAATTAGCACTCAACTCTCTTCTATTGCAAATAAAATCTTATGCTTTTGAGAATGTCGATCAATTTACATACCTATCTCGATACTATCATTTCTAATTAGAATAATATTAAACTTGAAACTGACAATGGATTATGCAGGGCTAATAAATGCTATCATGACTTAAATTTATTCTGAAATTTTAACTGCTAATTTTCAAAACAAAAGTTGTCAAGCTACAAGTTTTATAATATTTATAAAACTTTTATTAGAGCTATCATATTGTATGGTAGTGAATGCTGATAATTAACAAAAACAGATAAAGACAGATTTTTAATCCTTGAAAGACAATTCTCAAAAAATATTCTGCCCAAAAGCGAATATTATTAGTAATAATAATAACATTAATGTTATTTTTTTGCTGTTTTTACGATTTATTCATTTTAATATTTAATCTGATATGTTTCTAGCTATCCCCACATAAAGAGACATATTTGCAAGAAGTGCCACTTAATTTTGCGACCAGGTTTGACGTCAAAAGTGATGCTTAAAAGTAAGTATTTCAAGTATGCTTAAAATATATTTACAATTACATACATACATATTTTCAGGTGCTCCAAAAAAAAAAAAAAAAGAAGGAAGGAAAACGGACCACCCTCAATTCCTTTTGATTTAATGATCGGAAATTCACATTCTAGAACTTAATCTTAATGGCTCTAGGGGGTGACCTCAAATATGCTATTTAATAAGTACCTACCATATTTTAAGTTACAAAATCAGTCACAAAAACGTACTTTTTCCAAATAAACATACCCTTTTTTCTGTGGATTCGACTATTTGACCCCAAAATATAGGGGATAGCCGTAATCTGGGAAATATGATCCAAATAGCTGGGTCAGGTAGGTGCTCCAAAGTTTGGACCCCATAATGTTAATTTTACTTTTTTGCGATTTTCGCTATATCACGAGAACTTTTTTCACAACTAAAAAATTCTTTTATCCAAAGATGATTTTATGCAAATAATAACTTTTAGTAAATTTTTTATACAAAATTTGAGAGTGAAATTGGTCAAATAGTTCCGGAGAAATTGAATTTCAAAAAATCAGTTACTTGAAATTCAGTTTCTCAGGAACTACTTGAGTAATTTGGCTCAAATTTTCTCTTTATCATAGAAAGTTACATTTTTTGAAAGATTGCAAAAAAATTTATACCTTACGATTCAAAAATTTTTTCGCCATTTTTAAATAAAGAAATGAAAAATAATAAATATTTATTGAAAGTTATTTTTTGCATGGAATTATCTTTGGATAAGTGAATTTTAAAATTGTGTGTAAAATTTTTTCCATTTGCATAAAAAGTTCTCGGGATATAACAAAATATGCAAAAAGTATAATTACATTAAGGGTTCCAAGCTTTGGATCGTCCAGATTGGATTGCGGTTACCACATATGTTTTGGGGCTCAGAAATCCGAGTCAGTTGAAGAAAAGTTATGTTTATTCAGAGAAAGTATGTTTTCGTGTCTGATTTCCTAACTTAAAATATCCTCTACACTTATTAATTGGCATATTTGAGGTCACCCCTACAAGCCATTAAGATTGAGTCTTAGAATGTGAATATCTGATCATTAGATCAAAAGTTATTCTGGGTCGTCCGTTTTTTTTTCTTTGTGCACTGTACATAGTTTATTTGTTTGTAAGACTTATGTTGAAAAAGTTATCACACTACTTTCTCAATCTCGTTTTTAAGTAGGTTTTTAAACATAAATATCAGTTTTAGCATCCTGATTTGAGTCTTCTGGAAAGTAAGATGAGAAAAAAAATGCTTTGAAAAATCATTAAAAACTTGTGGTATTTTTGAGAAATTTTCATTAGTAATAAAATTTAATTGAACATTTTCTGCCGAAAATATGTTTTGTTATTCATTAAGATTCTGTTTTTCTTACAATAGAGCTGTGCAACTTTATTTATATAAAAACACTTAAAGGTGAGACATAACTTTAAATAACTTTCTCAATAATAATAACTTTTAATGGTTCAATAAATTTTTTCTTTCATTTAATAATGTTCAAAATGTATTATTAGTTTTTTGTTTAGAATTCATAATGTTATTCAAGGCTCTAGTCAAAACCTCTTATTGTCAAAAAAAATTCTAAAAAGTACTTTTCAGGAGTAAATTCAAATAAATCATCACAAATTACTGAAATCATGAAAGATTTGAGCAATTTAGGTAGAAATATGGAATAAAAATGCATGGAAAAATTGCTCTAAAATTAACATGCTGTTCTTTTAATTGATTAAAAGTGCAGAGAGGAGAATTATCTTCTTCCTCTTATCGGCATTACTGATCATGAAAAGCTTAAGTATACACATAATACTGACTGAAAATTGTAGACAGAACTGAATAGTTTATTAAAGTGATGTAGCTCTTGTAAATGATTTAAAAGTGAAAAGGAACAAATTATTTTCCTCATTTGTAAATTATCAAGAAAAGCTTTAGAGTTCATGTATTAGTGGTGTAAAATCGATTTCTCCCAATTTTCATTACAATTCAGGGGTTCAAAAAGTAGATTTATTTACTGTAAAATATGTTCTACTTATGTTAACAATGCACTGTAAAATATTACTATTCTAATTATGTTTATCATTTAAGTAATTTAACTGTTTTAATTAATCCTTTTTAAAATTTATTCTAATTGCTTGCCTTTGATCTTTCCAGATAAAAAGAATGGAAGAGGAAAGCACACTGAAGTGACTTGTCAATTGTGTGGGACAAAAAAACATTTCCTCAACAACCCTAATCACAAATTATTTATTGATAAAGAAATAGAAAAAAACAAAAATAAATTAATTTGATACTTTAAGTTATTTGAATTCAATATCAATCTCCAATTTTTTATTTATGGTTGACTAACACAATAGATATGCTTCACCTTTTAAAAATTTACCTAATGAAGTAAGGAGGCTAGTTCTTAACAAAGTCTTAAGTTTTTAATAATTTGATTTGATAGTTAAGGCAATTCTGCAAAGGCTCTTGTCATTTGAAGTAATTATTTTTAGTAAATAACAATTATTTTTTTCAATAAAAGTTGTGAGTTTGTAAATCATTCAAGAATTATGTTTAGTCTCTTCTATACTAATTATGAAAATAGCACATATCAAGTTGAAGACCACAATTTTGTGAAAATAAAAAAAAATCGTGGTCTCAATTTTTAAAAATTTGAAAACTTACTGCATTGTTTAAACTCTTAACAAATAAAAAATTAGCAATTTTTTTAGAAGATAAAAAATGTACCAAAAGTGGAGATTTTTTTTTAAAAAAGTAATTTTTCAAATGCTTTTGCTATTTCTCCCTTTTTAAGTCTAGTCAATTCTATTTAGTCAGATATTATACACAGTTTGAATAAGTTTAGGCTTTGCTTTGGTATTTCAATTGGATTTTTTATTTTTGTTTTCTTAAGTAAAAGAGTTTTAAAGAACACTTGATGTTAGGGTAATTCCAGTGGGGATGAGAAACCATTTTAAAAATTATTATTGAGAATAAAAGGCAGTTTTTTTTGTTAAGTTCTGTTTTTTTTTAATCATTTGTATTAAGTCCTCTGTTCTATTTAAATTGTAACCAACTAATTAATATCAGTGCTGTATGGTCAGAATCTAAATAAATTTTGCCAGAGTCTCACAACCTTAAAAAATTATTAATATAAAAGGGTTATTCAAACATTTTTGAAAAGTTTTATTGCAAAAGTTGCAACATTTCAGCTACTTCTCAACATTAGAACTACTGACTTTCTAATGGTTGCGGTACAGTGGGACAAGTTAATGTAATTCAGTATCACAGCAAGCGTGGTATTTCTACCTGCACGTCTCAGTTTGTTAAAAAGTGCAATTTTTTCATGTGCAAGAATAGGTAGAGATGATGCAACTTCAGCTATGTTGTTCTGTGACAAAGCTCACCATAGTATGGCGAATTTCATTAAAAGTCAGCTATAGTTTTACTAGAAGATATTTCACCATCAATCCTATTGTCCTAATCTGTTCTTGCACCTGAGAAAAATGCCTGTTTTGTACAGACATTTGTGGCACCCTGTTTTCATTCCCAGACTGCAAACTTCTACTACTGGGTTATAAGACTTTATTCCATGGATGTTGCAATCATAAGTGTAATAGGAACGAATTTTTTTTTGAGGGGGGGGGGGGGNGGGGAGCTCAAGGTTTTTTTAAAATTTAGTTATATATATGTAACATAAAAACCTTCAATTAATCTTTTTATGTTATTCCTTTTCTGTAAATCCTTTTCTTCATTATTATTCAAAACGAAACACTTTCTCAAACTTTTAAATTCACATTCTGCCCTTTAATCTATTTTTGGCTCAAGTATGCATTAATTAAAAGTAAGAAGTTTTTCCCTTTGCTCTTTGTGGGGTTCGCGCGACCTATTTAATAAACCAATTACTAAGATTTCCTTTATTCCCTAAAACGAGACATTTTATGGATTTTCTTTGCAAGATTTTCCCTAACGTTTATGGAACAGCACGAAGATTTTGTCTCTCTTTCATTTCATCATCACATAATGATTAAAAATTTTTTTTTTGCTCTTTAAAATTGTTCTGATCACTCGATTGACATCCATATATATAACCATATTTATATATAAAACTATACAATAACCTTTTAGGAGCAACCACCCTGTTCTACAGTAAAATGGTTGTTAATGGAGGTTGGTCGTTTTTAGAGCTTTACTCCCATTGACTTCTAAAATGTTATCGAAAGTACACAATTTTTCGCAAACAAACTTAATTTTACTCTTACATTTATTGGTGCGTAAATGCCACTTGTGTTGCCATCATGAAAACTAGATAGATTGATAGAATTTAGCGTCAATAAAAATGACCTCTACTGAAATAATTGTGTAAAAACAAAATTTACCAATTATAAAAGAACTATTTTGCAATTATGTTTTTTGCTTGAGCTTGCCTTTTCATATCATAAAAATTTACTTTAAAAAATGAGAAGCTTGAGATGCTTAGTTTTTCTAAAATAGCTTTTTTAACTTTAAACTCTAAAACTGGATCATTGATAGCATAGTTTTTAGTGCACTCTGACTAACATGAGGTTGTCAATCTTTTTTTTAAAAAAAAAAGCTCTAAATGAAAGCCACTCACATTATTTTCAGTACATTTGAAACTACTTATTTGTTTTAATTTTTTTATTTGATTTATAAATATGAATAAATACTAGAGTACTAAGCATTTTTTTGGCCAGATTGTTTCAAAGTCAAATCAATTTTAAATTCATCATGTAGTTTTTCGATCATTTTTTCATCTGTTTCTACGATCTTTTAATGCGATGTTATTATGACAGCAGAGTTTCGAATTAAATTACTTTTTGATATCCTTGATTCGCGACTATTCAATCTAGATAGTTTTCTCAGCAGTTATTTTTGCTTTTGTGGTTCTTCATACATTTATGGTTCTTTTACGCTCACAAGGTTTATCAAATAACGATATTTTTAATAAAACATGACACAAAAATTTCAATTTTTGAATAATAATTTTTTAAAGCGCTATAATTGCGACTTAGCCATCGTAAATCAACATAATTTTCCAATTGTTTTCCGAAGTCATTTAAAAAGAATCTATATTTGTAAAAGAGACTTGCTGAAATATCCTCAGTGGTAGACAGATCATGGGCCTACCCAAAAATTGGGTAGGCTGTTCAACGACTGTTATAATATATTTAAAGGATTTTTACTACCGATGGATTTTAACAAAAATTGGAGTTAACGTCTAACGCAACACGCTGGAAATTTTTAAAAGTATGAAAGACTCGAGAGATAAAAAGTTTCCAATTTGAACCGTTGTGATTCTGCAAATTACGTAGGTTTTAGTTATATATATTTAACAATTTAAATTATCTCACGCTTATTTCTTGTTATGTCACGTTCAGTATTCCTAAGAAAAAGAATTTTTTTTTTCAATTAATGCTAAATATTAATCTAAGTAATAGTTCGTTTTGTTGAGATTAACATTTTAACAAAATATTCTTTCACAAAATTATATATTTAAAAAATGATCTTACTGGAAAAAAAAGATAATCTAAAGGAGTAAGTGAGCAGAGCTTTGTCCTAGTACAGAGGTCGCCAAAGTGGTCTATATAGACCCCCAGGGGTCTATTTAACAGAAGTGGGGGTCGATCCGAATCGGAAGGGTCGAAGAAAAAACAGTTCATAATATACAAATCGCACATACCTTATTGAGTATGTAAAATTTGTGAATTTTTTTTATGACTGACATCAGTTTCTTTAAAGAACATAAATTAATAAACGCATATTTATTCGGGTGAAACAAGTATTTACGTACCAGCGGTCAGTGGAACGAACTCTGCACTTCTGGTTTATAAGTCATATGCATATGTGAGCTTGTCCAAATGTCACTTGCGACGAGCATTGACGTTACAAAAGCAAATATCATTCGCAGTTTCAGCTATCTTTGCAAACTGTGAACAGTGTTGAATATTTGCAGTGTCACTATTAAAGCTTTTATAGTTTTGGATAATTAGCTATTGTTTCGATAAAGCCATTCGTTCAATTTAGTATCAATTTTGATTATCAATACATGTAAAAAAGAAGGTAGGCATTAATAATATGGATTTGTACAGCCCGCGACAAAACTAGCACACTTTGTATTTTTTTACGAAAATTACAAAATTTTTGAATTTATTATTATTTTAATCTGATGTGTGTCTTTAACTGTTCTTAATAACAATTGGTTTATGCAATAAGTTTAATTTAATTTCCAGTTAGCAATCAATTGAGTCCAACAGCAATACAACAACAAAGCTGCAATAAAAAGATTTAACAATTATCGAAGCTCAAATAATACTGTTAGGCTTTTTTTTTTTCCAATGAGCTGCACAATCGGTCTTGCCGATAAGCAGACCTAGTGCGGTACTGTTAGGCTTCCAAGTAAAATTAAATTTATTTAGATCTTCATCGCTACCTAAGAATTATCAGTATTTTTCAAATCTGCGACAATTGGAAATAAAAGAAGAAGCCTTGGAAATATATACAGGTCATCTTCAAAAACTGAGCGACGGTTTTAAACTGCGCTTTGTTGATTTGGAAAACATTGACATCCTTGATTGGATTATTGTGCCATTTTCTGTTCAAATTGAAAACATGGACATCAACCTGCAAGATGAGCTTTCTGAATTATCGGATCTTGAAGCTTTTTAAGACGCTTTTTAAAAATTTAACAGTAAGCAAATTTTGGACAAATATAAATATAATGCAAAAATATGTAAAACTTTACAAAATAACTCAACCATTTATGCTAGCATTTCCAAGTTCCTTTATGGTTGAAGCCGGTTTCAGTGACAAATCCAATCTTAACTTAACTTAGTAACAGAAATAAATTAAATGTGGAGTTTCAAGGGGATTTAAGATTAAAATTGACCAATTTTGAACCCAATATACCGAACCTTGCAAAAAAACACCAGGAACAACCATCTCAGTAATTAAGAAGCAGTAAATCTGTAGTTACTTTACTTATTACTTCTACTTAATTACTTATTACTTAATAAATATTAAGGTATTTAAATTTCAACATTATATTTTTCATAAAACTATCGTTACACAATGTACTATTACTTTAATAAATGTTTAAAATCATAAAATAAATGTACAAACACAGTATCTAATAGAGTTTTATTTTAATTAACAGAAAATTACTTTTATGGGGGTCGATGGAGATTTCGAAAAATTATATAGGGGTCGATGATCCAAAAAGTTTGTCGACCCCTGTCCTAGTATATTAAAATACTAAAAAAACTTGACAGTATTAAAAAGTGTTTAAAGAATCTTAACTAAATTGCTTCTAGCTACAGTTATAATCCGAGACAAAAAACTAAATTTTATTTCATTGAAATCATTTAGGTAGAACTGTAACAAGTTAAAATATTTAACTAGCTTTTAAGGTAATTTTATGATTATTACTTTAATGCAGAGGTCGCCAAAGTGGTCTATATAGACCCCCAGGGGTCTAACAAAAGCGGGGGTCGAACTGAGCCAGGGGGTCGATCCGAATCGGAAGGGTTGATTGGGGGTCTATGAAAAAACAGTTCTTAATACGCAAATCACACATACCTAATTAATTATGTAAAATTTGCGAATTTTTCTTTAATTGACCTTATATTAGTTTCTTTATAAGACATAAATTAATAAACGTATTCGGGTGAAACAAGTATTTACGTACCAGCGCGCAGTGGCACGAACTCAGTCAGCAAAGTTAATAAGTCATATGCATATGTGCGCTTGTCCAAATGTCACGTGTGACGAGCATTGACGTTACAAACGCAAATATCATACGCAGTTTCAGCTATCTATGCAAACTGTAAACATTGGATATTTGCAGTGTCATTATTAAAATTTTTATAGTTTCGGATAATTAGTTATTGTTTTGATAAAACCATTCGTTTAGTTTATATATCAATTTTAATTATCAATGTATGTAAAAAAAGGTAAGCATTAATAATATGGACAAAACTATAGCACTCTTTGTATTTTTTTACGAAAATTACAAAATTGACCAATTTTGACGAAAACTAAAATTGACCAGTTTTGAACCCAATATAGCGAACCTTGCAAAAAAACACCAGGCACACCCATCTCATTGATTTAGAAGGAATAAATCTTTAGTTACTTTACTTATTATTTCTACTTATTCATAATTACTTATTATTTAATGAATATTAAGATATTTAAATTTCAACATTAATATATTTTTCATAAAACTATTGTTACACAATGTACTATTACTTTAATAAATGTTTAAAATCATAAAATAAATGTACAAACACAGTATCTAATAGAGTTTTATTTTAATTAACAGAAAATTACTTTT